GCTTGTCTGTTGTTTATAATCATGACAGTGTGGTCCAGAAACCAGACTGGGTCACAACTGTGCAAGAGGAAGCCATGGTACCATAAAGTAGTGTAAATGAGGGTAAATGGCCTGTATTTGTACTGGTAAATGATGCAAGTGACATCATAATAAAGTACAGTTTCAATACTGGATGTGGTCCAAGACCTCATTGGTGTCACTGCTGGTGTGATCCTATTGCTAAATGGTCTCCACTTAATCTAAATGAGGCGTTTTAAAAACACAGAGTGAACATGCTAAACTCAACAACAGAGGGTTTTCTAACTAACTTGATGGTTGGTTTTGTTTTTAACAACAGGTACCCTTCCTGCCACAACACCAAAATGGAATTTATGTGTCCAAATGAAACAAAACCAGCAACATTTCACTTGCCAAGCAAAAGCTTAAACCATTAAACCGGCACACTCTGGAGCCACAAAGTCATCTTATACTCAACAAGTATCTCATGAACAAAATCGAGCACTAAAGTGGTCTCTGAGAAATATACAAACACAGACAAAATACCACACCTGGCACGTTTTCATGACTGAGTCTCCAGAGATTGAGCAGATAATCCCTTTAATTAAAACACCTGCCGCTGCTAGGGTTGCTAAACCAAGACACGGGTGGTTAAGTATTGTTTTTTGAAGTCATCACTACCAAATTGCTTTGGTCCACATGGTTGTTTGGTAATAACAATTGTGTCTAATCTTGATAGAGATCAGTTTTCAATTTAAATCTAGTAAAACTATGTATCTTATCAGTCAGAGCCTTTTCTTCCTTTTTATATCGTTGTGAGTTCAAACATTGTATCATATTTCTCATTAGACTTATTAAACTCAGCTAAACAACATAATTTTAGAAAGTTTTGGCCAATCTTCTAAAACCATTTGATGGTTGAAGATGGAAGATGTGAATACTTCACAGCATTCATCTTACCCTTGTAATAAAAAATAATAATAATAATAATAAAAAATAAAATGAAATAACAATATGGATGATGATGATGATGATGATGATGATGATGATGATAATGGTAATAATAATGATGGTGATGATAGCGAGAAAAACATGGTCAAATGAAGGACCAAACCTAAAGTTAAGGAAGCTTGCCTTTTGTTGTCACCTGTCTTTCTTGGCCTCGTGATTTCTGAGCACTGTAAGCAGAAGCCAGCTTGGCATTAGGTCATGTTAGCTAATGCTCACATGGCTCATAAGAGTGGCTGGATGACAGAAGACACTTGCAGCCTGCTGTAGAATCTGTTGAGCTTGAAGCTGTTCTTTGGTAATTCCTCTTTGAAAGAACCATTTTTTTTATTTCAATTTATTTTCTGATTGAAGTTGTTAATTAGATACTGCAATCTGACAAGTAACTATCATTTATAAAGTTTGGGTGTTTTTTTGCATTTTACATATTACAATTTTACCAAGCTCTTATTATGTGTCATAATAACAAAATCCCTATTGTGTTAGTAATCTACATTTAATAAAATTGTAAATAATGGAGTAATTTTTTCTCTTTGCAGCACAGTTTCAGCCCACATGTTGTATTTTGAGATTTCGAAAAATATCTTGCCCAAAAAATGATTGTTGTCATTTTTTAAATTTCTATAAACAATCACATGAAATTCTTCTGCAAGTTGTTTACACATAAACCTGCCCTGCACAACAACCATCCACCACAGCTTTTTAAAATTTAATGCCAGCAGACTCAAAAATGTATAACTAACCTGTATTTTCCAAGATGTGATTTTCAGTAGTGACATTTCCTGTGACTACAGAGTGTTAAATAAAATTTTATGAATGACAGTAATTTTTGTTTTGGTATTTCTAATAATACATTTGTAAAATAGAGAACCAAAGAGAGTACCTAAGAGAGTACAAATATATGTGTATATGTGTAAAGGTTTTGATTTTGGACTGCTGATATATAAAACAGATGTTAATAACATACTGGTTTCATTATTTTTTGCGGGTTTATTGGAAAATAATACACTCGCCTCCATCTCAGCTATGGTAGAGCTAGTTAAGGTGAAGCTCCTTGCACCAAGGGATGCTATGAGATTAGTTGAAAAACATGTTTTACACATTTTTCTTTTAGATGACTAACTTTGTGATATTTAGTGTTAAGCAGTTCCTCTGTGCTATGTAAAAAATCACCAGCTCAGCACAGGCCAGTTTCTGGATTAACAGCTATAACTTCAGTAAGTGCATATAGTCTTGTTTTTCTTTTCAGGGTCAGCTTTCCTTATGTTGGTATAGCTATTGTTTAGCTATTAAAGCTATAGCTATTAAAAGATTTACTAAACAATTTATTGTACTAAGCTGCTGTTCAAGTTTGGTGATCTCATCTTCTCCGAGCAGGAAACTATAGACACTGGAAGACAGCCAAGATGTAAAGTGCTGACCTCAGATCAGCACGTTTACACATGGATTTCCCATCATTCTACTGACCATCATGTCACTGATGCAAAATCAGATCACCTTTTCATAATAAACATAAAGTAGAAATTACATAAAGTACACGTCTCTCTCTCTTCCTCTCTCTTCCCCTCTCTCTCTCTCTTCCTGACCATTTGAGCTGTGGGACTTAGCCAGGATTAATCAGCAGAGATCACCACTTTTAGACCAGCAATTTTCAAGCCCTCATGTGAAGTCTTGCAGAAACCCTCACAGGTCAAAGTGCTGTTAAAGAACTTGCTTCCACTCTCATCTGTGAGATCATCCTTACTGCTTTAAAAATGATTACAAATAAATAATAAAATATTCACAGCTGCACACTGACTCGCTCAAAAAACCTGAAAAGATCAGCTACAATTTCTATCATAAATAAATCAAATGAAATTTGCATTTTGGGTAACAAGCATTTAAAAAAATGTACTTATGAACCACAGCAAAAGTATTAAAAATCTAGGACAACATGATGCAATTCCAAAATATCCTCCTTCTTTATTCATGCACTAATGGAAAGGTGTTTTCTGTTTAATCACACTGCCCTTTGCTGCCTTGTAGTAAATGAGAGAAATGTAATTTGAACATTTCTTCAGTGCTCTGCAGACACTGTGTGAAAGTGTGCTTGAATGTATGTTTGCTGTCGTCACTGCAGGTAAGCAGTTGATAAGGGGATTAGAGAGAATTAGCATCTTTAGTCCCATCAGTAGGCAAACCAGCAAGTCTTCTCATCATCTCCTGCTACCCAAATGAAATGCATGCACTGAGCAAACCAACTTGAAAAAGTCCAAAGCACATACAAAATACAAGCTTCACAACACTATGAGCATAACTGCAGGCAGAGAATGAACTGTGCAGGATTTTGTCTTTCTGAGATCTGCTGATTCCTGCTCCTCCAGGTACCACCTGACTATTATTAGTGGCTCTAATGGGATTAGAGAGCATTAACCTGAGGGATTATTTAGGAGCTACCAACACATGAGAGCAAGACAGCTTGACATCCAGTACTGGACAGCAAAAGAAGAAAGCTGTTCTTGGGTTCAAGTGAGGCAGCTCGAGGAACAGCTGATTCCCAGAAGGGCACAGATGTCAAACAGAGCTTCTGTAATAACAGTGATATTAAGTTTGATTAGCACACATGTGTATGTAATCAAAGGTTTAAATAATTCAGTATGAACTAAAATATAACAACTCTACAACGGAAATTAATTCTTAAGAAATTGTGTTGAAAAAGCTTAAATATATTTATATCATATTTCATATGCCCTTTGCCATTAATGGTAAAAATGCTGAAATAAAACCACTTGGAGTAATATTTGGAGAACATTTTGTCTGGTTTAGACCTACAAGAAAATTTCATGGGAGGAGCTTTAAAGCAAATACCATCACATCAGAGGCCAAGAGCTAATATGCAATGTAAAATGTGAGTATTACTGAAGCAGCATGTATAGCAATGGATTGAATATGACCCTGATGGACTGATAGTGGATGATGGCAGACGAGGTTACACACATATGATTAAGAAATCGCGGCGCAACAGATTCAACTCCAGCTGTACCCAAACAATAATAGGATAGATGGTGAGTCACTGAACAACTGTTTCTGTTTCCATTTGTTTAAATGATTAACGATGTGAGTAACGACAGAAACAGATGCTTAAATTAAAAAAAAACAGGGCCAAACATTACTCTATCATAGATAACAGCTCCCGCCCACTTTTTTTCTAATGTAAGGACACAGCTGGGAGAGCTAAATGAGGGACAGGACTTAACAGAGCACACGGAGGTTTGTACTAATAGTACTTTTCCTTCTCACATCATTGCTTCAGTTTTATGGAATTCATGAAGAAATTAACAATAAAAGAGTCCAATTGATGGTTAAGTCATCACAAAAAAATCTTAGTGTGGCACTTTGGTGGCAATTTCTGCATGACATGCCTTTTCCTGTTATTATCTGAAATAAATTGTAAAGTGAGTGTATATGTTAAATCTGTTCAAGCAAAACTTTGTGGTTAAGTAGTTTGGACCACCAACTTGGCTAATGCAAGTCTTTGGCAAATGTTCAATAATACCTGTGATGATCTCGATAGATGGGAATACAGTAAAACCCTAATAAAAATACAAAATTTGAATGAAATTAAATGCATGACAGATTAATCTAATCTTTAACTTACTTGAGTTTTCAAACATAAAATATCTTAAGTCTTGTAATCCAGTTTAAATGGGGACATTGACTAGCTCTATTACATCACTACTGTTCTAAGAGCCCTGCTGGACTCTGGACTGAACTCCATTACTAAAAGTAATGATTAAAGATGAAGCCTGGTCTTAGTCAGCATGAATATGGTGTAATCTGGCTGTCTATCAAACATCATCTGAAGTACACAGGTGCACAAATGTTTATATCCTTTGAAAGTGAAATTAAGGGGATTTTGATGGATGACAGAATGCAGTCTGTTTAGTACTCAGGTCTCTTTTAACACCCTCTCAAATTCTCAAACCATGAATACTATTATTCTAAGGCTCAGCAGTCTATGTAGGTTTTCACTGTTATGTAATTTACTTGGGAAAAATTTTAAACAACAAGAGCAACAACAACAACAACAAAATAAACCATTTTGAAGCTTATACTTTGTACTACTCCTTTCCAAGTATGCAAATCAAGTGGTATAGTGTTGCTGGAGAAGATTCAGTGTCCTTTGTTCTTTGTTTACCTATTTACAGTGCACTTTTCTTGGTTAATTTTATATACATGTTTTTTTTTTGTTGATTGATTTCATGTAAATCAATCAATCAATCTATCAATCAATCAGTTTCTTCATTTCAAATTAGGCATTTTTCTTTCTGAGAAACTCCCTAGTTTTAGTATCCAAGATGTAAGACTCATTCTCCTGATACACTCTTTTAATTTAAAGTCTTCATGGTTGTTTGACCCAGTAGATTGAAATGTGGATGAAATCTTTTGTGAAATCTTTTGGCATTTCTATTTTATTTATTTATTCATGTTTTACGTTTTGGAACTTAACCTTGGAAGAATATTTATAGTCTATACAAAGCTGTCGCTTGACAATGATCAAGGGTGTTGTTGAGTAGAAAACATCTGGGTAAGAGTAGGGTGGATAAATGGATGGATGGATGGATGGGTGGAGTCAGCTCACCTTCTGTGCATTCTCCAGCTCGTCCACCTGGTTACTGCCAAAAATGCTTCTGATGATCAATTCGCATTTGGCATTGAACTTCATGAAAGTCACATAGAAGGTGTAGAATAGCAGCAGACTAACACTTTCTGCCAACACAATTTGATTATCCAAAAAGAAATAGATGAGCATGAGCAAGCCAACAATATAGAATGAGACATCTCTGAACAGAGGCCACCAGGTGAGATTCAGCACCTCTTTGGAGAACAAGGCGCACATCCCAATTACAAATAGGATGTTGAAGACAGCCGATCCCACAATGGTACCAATACCCACATTGCTGTGGGAGATGAAGACTCCTATAACAGATGTGAAGAGTTCTGGGGCAGACCCACCTGCAGCCATAAAGGTGGCTCCTGCTACATCATCAGAGATCTCCAGCTTCTCTGTGATGACCGTGAGTGCAGGAACAAAGAACTCATCACAGACAAGGGCTAAAGCTATGAACATGTACAACATGCCAAACATATGAAGCACTACGTAGCCCTGGCGCCTGTCCTCCACACTGAAATAGTCCGTTGGGTAGTCCCCATGATTCAGCTCTATACTGGAGGATTTCATGGCCACCGGTGTATCCTCTGGTGCCGCTGAAAGGTTCCGGTACTGCAGAAGAGTTCTTTGGGGCATTGCTCCCTCAGCTGAGCGTTCAGCAGCTGAATCTACCTGAGTGGTCACTGATTTGGCCAGCATCAAGGCACTCCATGAACAGACTGTGCAGACAACCACCAGGCTGATGATAAAGCCCAAAATCCGTCCAGGCCGTAGCTTTCTCTTGACACCATGGTACAAGTGCATGGTACTCCTACTTTGAGGGCCCAGGCGAGGTGGTGAGCTGGAATATGCTATCAGGTCTTGATTTCTTATGGGTAGGATGAAATCCATTCTGTTTGGTGCAGGTTGTCAGAGTGGAAGTGTCTGTAATCCCCCAAAAGCTGGGTTGGTGGTGATATTGGCTATAAGGGTGGGGGTTTGACAGGCCACGGCGGTTTACCAATTGGTTTGCATGCTGCTGCCAGGTTTAAACACAACGGAAGCCCTTCAGTCTGATTCCAGGATCTATACCATTTAAAGGTTTCCCCATATTACACACTGCAAGACAGAGAAAACAGAAGTTATAATACAAGTGTGCAAATGAAATATAGACATAAAAAGATATGCATAATAATTAACTATTTATCTATCAAATGGAAATCACACGAGCCATTTCCCTCCAATGACAATAATAATCAGCAATCTTAATGAGTACCCTTTTTTTCCTTTTATTTCTTTCCTTAAAAAAAACAAACATTTTCACTCCTGCTATCAGCTTTACTGTGGCCTCCTTGGCTCGAGTATGCCCATTCACCTACTTCTTTGCTATTTCTCAGAGAGAAACTTTGTTGGTTTAACTTTACTCAAGAGTTTGATGACTTGTTCCCTTCTGATTCTTTAGTCTTTCAAGCATTCTTGTTTCCTTTCAAGCATCCCTGCAAGTATTGTTTTTGTAACAGTGTCACAAACTAAAACCCTTTGTTAAAAAGCAGCTTCAGAAATAGCTATTCTCAAATCTAGATTAAATCTTAATATTTAAATATATATTTTAAATATTAAAATATTTTATTCAAACACATAAACCTTCAAATATATTATTGTATTTTGGTAGAACTTAATTTTAAATAACAGTTAAAATCACATATAGCAACATTTTTTTTCACTTGTAGTTTTTGTAATTTTGGTGTTGTAATTGGTCCTGAGAAGAAAGCAGTGAAAGCTTTTCTTTGACTGTAGCTAGAACATTAGTGAAATCGCATTAGAGAGCTTTTTAATCCCCCATAGGATATACTTAGATTAGCCTCACGTCCTGCACACAGGTACCAAAAGGTAGACACGAACAAAATGAACAGAATGAAAAATGAGACCTGATGAAATTATTTTGCACATTAGAGTTATTAAACACTTATTCTATTCTACAAAAGCAACAATAATCTCTGAAGTCTTACAATTTTGTGCAGCCTCATTTTTATCATTTAAATGTTTTAAAACAGCAACAATTTGCTGTCAGATGAATACTAAATCGTTTAGGTTATTAGAGTGAAGACAAATTGCAGCTACACACCAAACACACACATTCATCTTTTAGGTTCTCATACCACTCTTGGATATCTCCAGTTCAGTGGAGAAAAGTACAGCAGTCAACAGCTTGTCAGATCCTGAATCTCTGAGTGAATATTCCTGTAAATTGACTCTTAAAACAAAATGATCCCAGGTGTTCAGTGCAGGTCTCAACAGTAAATCCTCAGTGAGATTTTCTTCTCTAAGCACAGAAAGCTTCAGGACAGCATGTCCTGAAGGAGATCCTCCCTCTTTTTCAGTGTTCCTCCCCCATTGACACTGGCCACCTCCTTTTACTTTCTCCTCCTTCCTTGTCCTCTCTGTTGCCAAGTCACTGTTAAAAAATGAGGATCACTATATCTGTCAATCGTATCTGCTTCCTCTGGCCACCCTTCCTATCGCCCCACCTCTCAACATCACCTGCATAATTCCTTCCTAGCTCTACAAACAAGCGAACAGATAATGGATTGAGAACAATAAGCTTACAGCTTGATGAGGCTGAAATTATCAGATCACAGTCTTGTGTATAAAGCGCTTGAAAATGATCCTACTTACTCTGTTATGCAATACTTTGCAGCATAGTTCACAATGCATGATATTTGTATGTGTTAGAGGTTTATAACCTATAAACAGGATGCCAAACTATTTTAAAAAATGAAAGTTATAGGATGTCATTTTGCCATTTAGTTTTATTAATTTAAGTAATTTTTTTCTTAGAGGGTTAGATACCTTATTAAGCTGCATAAAATGTATTTACATGTGAGAGAATAGATTCTGAGGTATGTATATACTTTGAAAGTACAAAATTAGTCACTGTGATTTCTTACAAAGATGGACAAACCATAAATTTCACATTTCAAATTTGAAGTATGATGCAGCTCTGCTTTTTCTTACCTAAGCTCCCCTACTCCCACACCAAAAAACTCAATTAACAGAGAAGAAACCTAAATAACTTAACATTTATTTTGTAGGTAGCAAAACCAAAAACAATTTAAAAAAAACATTTAACCTGATGTATAAATACCAAGTTTAAACAGATCAGAATGATTCATGAAACAAGATGCCTTTGGGTGCTTCTTCCCCCAAACTTTAGATTTTATGTTTTTGTAACAAACTTCAGCATATATCTTGTGTACATATTAGACTGGTTTTCAAAATAAATTAATAAATAAATAAAAAGGCTCTGATGTATACAAACATATATTTTCCTTTTAGTGGCGAATTCTTGGATTCTTGCTGGACAGTACAAAGCTGCAAAAGCTGTTCAGGAACTGCTTGAGGAACATAACAAAGAGTCCAAATTGATGACCTGACCTCTACATTCCCTAGAGCCCAATCCAATCAAGCATTTGGAAGATCCATTCAATGTAGTGGGTTCCAAAGATGTCCCACTCTGCAATTCACTGCTAAGATTTAGCAGTCAAACAAAACTGACCTTTAACCCCTCCCCCTCTCAAAGAATTTACATTAGAGCTGTTTTGGCAGCACAAGAATCATCTGATATTAGGTAAGTACTTTTGATGTTGGGATTGATCAGTTATGCTAATGTCATAAATAACAAGTTGTTATGGAAGTGATATCACCATGCTGTCTTTTATTTACTGAATGTATGTAATGGGCTTTGAATGCCGCACCCACTCTTAGGAAACAGTCCTACACTCTTAATGTCAGGTCAGGGTTAAGCCGGAGCAGCTACCTGAGGGCAAGATCAAATGATGCTGCCATTTCTGTTACCTAGCATGTCTCTAAGACAGATGTATGAGGGAGAATAAGCATGGAATAGGCAAATGTATTGTAACAAAAAAATACAGATTTAGCCTCGTTATTAAAAATCTCACTCAGAAAATTCTTCTAAAGACATACTCATTTTGAATCGTGTAATCAGAATAACATGTAGAATAAGAATAATCTGAATAATGCTGTTTCAGTTCCCTTACAAACCACAAACCCTGCTGGGATTAAATCCTATGGGACCTTTCTCACCTCCAATTGCTCTCATCCAATTAAATGTGAGTATACTTAATGGAGTGGACTGCTTATTTTCCTTTGTAAGCAAAATCTGCATCTTCATTTCTTTGTTTTCTCACCAAACCAAGACTATTTAAAATCTTAATTACCTTTTAATATCATGACTGAGACTTTTGTTAAATTTTCTTGAAAGGATAAGAAAGATATTATTTCTAATGTTTGTCCAGGTGGTTTGCATACTCTCTAAGACCATGTCACATAAAGGAAGGAAGGAAGGAAGGAAGGAAGGAAGGAAGGAAAAAGGAACTTACAAACTATAAAAACTTTGCATTCTCTCTGGTTATATATTTCCACATGGGGAAGCATAGTATTGCCATGTCCTGAAGAGACACTTGGTTTTGTGCAGACAAGTTTGACCTCTGTAGTGACTGTGTATCTATAGCTGAGAGATTAAGAGCTATGTAAAGTCCTAGCAAGGCTAAATGTGTTGCATAATCAGCCAAGCAAACCTAACCTTTGGGGTAGGCGAGGTACACCTAGTATATAGTTTGAAATATAAATAATTACAATCACAATGAGCAATAACACAAGCTAGGGAATAACCCTTAAATAGATGTAGATTCCGTGCAAAGGTCTAGCCACATCTGGGTGACTGAATTTGATCAAACCTAAGCAAACATAAATATACCTGCAGAACTTCTGCATGAAAAAGAAGCTGCACAATTAACTGCATATATATTTTTTATATTAGGTTAAGAGCTGAAGTGGGTTTCCTTGGTAGGTCAATGAAAAGAACGCAATATGGATGTTCCTCTGTGAAGCTGGGATCAGCAGCAGCTTATTGGCTAAAAGCTCCTGTCTGAAATAGCAGCTAAGTTGGAAAGGGAGGGACATTTTCTCTGTGAACAGGGACGGCCCAGGTAATTGGTGAGATCTATATAATGAGTCTATGAATAGCTGAGTTCACTTACTCTCCAAAAAGTGACCTTTCAATAAGCTCACCCCTTCAGTCACCACACCTGCCAGGCACAAAAGCAATTTACAGTCATAAAGACTTCTAGATATAACACTAATTTAAAAAAGAAAATGAAATTTGTAAGTGCTCAGTGATCATTTCTAGTTCGCTGTTAATCTCTCTCAACTGTTAGTGGCAAATTTATCAGCTTTAGCTGTTAATAGAAATATAGAAATAATTTGACATAAGAATAATTGTTGAAAAACTGAAAGGTTTGAACACAAAATTTGAAAATGACCAGGAAATTCAAATGTATTTTATATTATATGTTGTATATTTATATATATATCCAAAAATATGAACTAAAACAATAACAATAATAATAATTCCCCAAATATTTATGATGCAGCCTACTGATGATTCAATCAGGAAAAAATGTTTAATTAAAGGGTTACAGTGACCAATTAAAATAAATTTGTATTGATTTGCAGTAATTCTTTTGTCTGACAGGACAAGTAGACCCATGCTAGCAAAATGTCTCGCACCACATAACAGCGTAACCAGATCATCCACTGTAGAGTTTACATTTTCAGATTGCAGATAGAGACACTAATGTATAGCAAATTCATGAATGCATGTTTTGAGCAGATAATGATGCTCAGTTCAAAAATATCAATCGTTAGGATCACAGTAAAGTTTGCAGGACTGTCCCTGTTCTGTTCTTCTTTTGTGTCCCACAAAGAAGAACAGAACACATGAGTTTTATACTGGCCTCTGAGTCAGATACAGTCTTTGTACTTGTCATGAATAAGGCTTCTCACTGTAACGTAAACCCTATAATGCATATAGCTTATAACACTAAGCCTTGAGCTGAGCTGTTACTATTGAGCTTAGTTCCCAATAACAACTAAATGAATTTAAACCATGCAGATTGCAGTTTCTGGAGAAATGCAAAGCTAGAAATATCTCACATTTCTTTGCGGCTGCTAAGCTACAGTGTTCAATCAGAGAAGTAAATATTCCATCAAATTTATTTAATGTATCAAATGTATCTAAATGATTTAACTGTGATGTGGAAAAAGTTCAACTAAAGCAAAGCTGCACACAGGCATAAAAATATTAAACCTCGACAACAGAAATAGTATGAAATATATTTAAATAACAAGTACAATATAAGAGTGTATTAGAGACTTACTTGGGAAAAAAACTAATATAACCCAGTATATATAACCCTAGCAGAATATAACCCTAATATATACTGCATGTTATTTGGCATAATCACTTAGCATACAGAATGGGTAAATTCTGTATGCTTCGTTCTTACTGGAATGAAACCAACATTTACCACAGGACTGCACCTGCTTCCTCTGCAGCTGACACTTTATTTTAAGATTGTGGAGCAAATGTTTCTCCTTGTATTTCTGTCGACAGCAGTTAGAGATTAATCTTATTTTGTCAGCAGGGTATTTCCTCTCAACAGCAAACTGACAAAGTTCTGTTACACATGAAGATTGGGATATTAGTAGCTAGAAACGATGTTAGAAGGCCAGACCAGAGTAGTGATTAGTTTGCATTAGCTTCAGTTTAATTTCCAACCCACATCACAAAACCAGAACCTTATATATTTTATGATATTGTCAGGAAAATCAGCAGCAAGTTGGTTCAGCTCTGGCTCAGGGGGCTCAATAGGACAAAAGTTTCTTATCTGATATATTTATGTTTCACATTTACTGAAATGGCAGTCATGCTGTGAATGGAGTTATGGGAAGATCCAGAGCAAACATCTCCATCTAGTGGAGAATGAATTTATTTTTTTACAGTCCCAATGTAAAACCTTTTCTTTACAGAAAATACTCCATTAACATAAAAACATGTTTCACAGTGATTCACAGATCATGAAGCACTGATTTATGATTAATGATTAAGGTACTAGAGAGTAGTCCTGCTTTCAGGTTAAGAACCTCTACAGTCCTGTCCACCTCCCCTAGAGTAACTGTCTGTCTCCTGCTATCTCCTTGAGACTGTGCTGGGAGACACAGCAAACCTTCTGGCAATGGAACGCATTGATGCGGCATCCTAGAGAAGATGAACAACTTGTGCAACCTATGTACGATCCGGGTATCGCCTCATGATATCACAGTGACACTGACCCAAGCCAAACGCAAAGTTAAAAAAAAAAAAAAAAAAACCCAAAAAAGAAACACAGTCAGAAAAGATGAGGAGTGGCCCCAAATCATAGTTGTTTTGGGGGTTGTCTCATTATTGCACTAAATCAACTCAAACTAATTAATAACCCCTTTTACTACTTAACTGACCAGATCAACATGCCATGAAGTAAATATTCAGTCAAATTTATTTAATGTATCTAAATGATTTAACTGTGATGTGGAAAAAGTTCAACTAAAGCAAAGCTGCACACAGGCATAAAAATATTAAACCTTAACAACAGAAATAGTATGAAATATATTTAAATAACAAGTACAATATAAGAGTGTCTTAGAGACTTACTTGAAAAAAAAACTCATCTTTAAGAATTCACTAAGCATTTACTTTGAAAATAGTATAATTATTCACCTCGGTATTTAAAAACCCAGGTTCTTTTTTTTTCCCATTTCTAAATAATGTGTATTACCCAAGATGTGGAAATTATTATATCTTCATATATGACAACTATAGTAGCAGTAGTAGTAGTAAATGATCCATGACATGAACATTCTCATCCATGAGAATTAGTTCATCTATGTAAAGAACAAAAAACAAAACGACATCAGTGTTGAGGCAAAATTTTAATTTGAAAATTTTTCATTCTTCCATTACATTACAGACCTCAACAGATATCAAAATGTTTTTACATGTTTTTTAAACATTTTTAATCTGAAAAGTAGAAGTGCAGTGTGTTATAAGTGCCGGAACAAAAATAAGGAATTTCCAATTCATGACCCCCCACCAAAAAGAATTAATAAAATAAATGAATCAAGAATGGGTAAAAGGGCAAATGCATGTGTAACGTGTAAGGTGTCTGATTTAGTTTTGCTTCCCTCTCCCCATTAGTCTCATTGTCCTCTTTCTGAAGAAACTATATAAATACAACTTCTTTCTGGCAAAAGTTGACAACCTCAGCTGGTCAATGAAGTCGTACACAAAGAGCAAATAGGCTCCGTGACCTCACTGCTATGGGATGAAATGATGGGGCCACAGCAGTGCATATTCAACATTTATATAATCACTCAAGTGTAGGCAAAAACAGTAGCACAAAGAAGTGTTTGCCAGAAAGTGCATTATGTGAGACCACTTGTAGAAAATGTAAAAACTCTTTGGCTAAAGAGAACTAAAGCAGGGGCCGTGATAACATTAAAACCATCTGATGAACTGTCCAATTATGTAACAAATTACTGATCACCCATGCCTTTCAGCAACACCAAGCAAAATAACCCTTACTCTCATCCACGTTTCAGATTAAGCACCTTCAGAACTAACCTTCAATGAATCAACTACACTTTCTCTAGTGACTTCGGTCTTCCCTTCCATTTTCAGTACTTTGGCTTCTTGGCATAACAATCGACGACCTCAGGCACGATGCTGTCGTCCTCTTCCACGTCATCTTTGACGGTCTTTCCGACCAACTGGAAAATGTCCTCAGCTACAACGCCCATGGGCTCTGCCACCTTCACTGTCAACATGTCCTCAGTCAGAACTGTTCCTTTGGGGATCTTTACTTTGGCTACCACTGACTTACCCAGCTGAAGGAACAGCAAACAAAGCAACATTATTAAAGGAAAAAGTTGGACATTTGCTTGAAAAGCTTGCTAAACAGTAAAGCTGAGTATTTTTAATTTATTTATTTATTTTTTTAGAGAAAGGCGTTCTGACCTTGTCGTGGCACGGCTTCTCACAGGGTAACATCCGCTTGATTCCGCTTCCCAGTGCCCTCTCCACCAGTCGGATAGAGCGAACCAGCTCAGCCAGTTCAGCGGGCTCAAGTGATGCTTCGTGGTCACTTCCTTTCCACGTCTTGTCCAAGGTTATGTGGCGCTCAACAACCTTTGCTCCCAGAGCCACAGCCGCCACTGTTATACTGACTCCAGACTCATGGCCTGAATACCCAATGGGAATATCTGGAAAGTCCTTCTGGTATTCCTGCAGCCAACAAATGGGTGACATACATGTTATTCTTAAAAGTTAGTCATTTTACAATTTGCAACATGTACTCATGTTCACGTGGGGTTTTTTTGCCAAGATGCTACAGGCAGTTGCTATTGACATGATATAAAAATGCTGTTGTGCAGATCACCAGTCATTTTAAGTCCAGCTCTTAAAGACAAAGGGAATTTAATGGTAAAATTAATGGCAGTGATTAGTGCAACCCCAAAGCCTCCTGGAACAAAGAACAAGTTATAGAAAACATACATTTAAGGTCTCAGTAGATCCTAATAAGGTGCATATGAGCCTTAGTGATTTTATTAACCATATCAATTCAAATGTAAATGGCTAACTAAGAACCAGGAATAAGAAATGCAAAAATCATAATAAATATAAACCACTGAGAATGCTGTCACTTTCTGTGGTATTATTGTGGTTAGATGTCATTTTCCATAATTCAACCCAATAATATGTTCACATATAAGTTTTTATATGTTATATGTCGTAGAGATAACAACGAAAGCCGAGTTACTAGAGTAATTGGATGAGCTATTACATGTATCAGCAAACTCTGAGACACATTTTATCTGTCATAACAGGCCTGTTCGTATGAAGGTGAAATATTTTTTTGATGAGATTTTGGCTTGGTGGTCATAAAATGAAAAGACATATTACTGGTATATTAGCTATGTTTTTTTTTTAAACATCAAAACGTGCAACATTGTCTTTTTTGTGTTTACAAGATTTTCAGTAAAGTTGACCTCTGCCCACACTGCTCAACCATCCACCTGGCAGGGTGACAACAATACCCCAAGCCTTTCAGGCTGAGGGATAAAAAAATAAGCTTCATAACCCGTAAAACTGGATCAATCTGGACTCTCTGGATTATTTTACTGATACACAAAGGAACACACCCTTCGAAATAATCCCACATGCAGTTTGGATTAGAAGATTCACCGTAATCACTCGGAGGTTGACATCTTCAGCTTCCAGAGGATAGGCGCTGGTACACTGCAGGATGGCAAAGTTTTTGTTGTGCTCTTTGACCGTCTTGTAGACCCGATGCATCGTCTCCATGGACTGCATCCCGCTGGACACCACCATGGGGCGTCCTGGCAAGTGAAAGACAGCAACACTATGAGAAACCTCATGTTACTGGCAGTAAGCTAAGTGCTACGACACCCCTCAGTATTCCTATGGAGTTATTGTACACTGCCTTGCTTGTACAGTATAGAGTTCATGTCATCCATATTTATGCAGAATGAAAACAGACACAGACTCCTCGAGGTCCAACTATATTTAAAGTTTAAATTACATTCTAAATATTAAATTGTAATTCTGTGTCACATTTTATAAAATTATAAATGTATGCTTCCTTTAAGACACATTTTATATATTACATGGTGCATGTATTGAGTTGTCTATCGTTTTCTCTTTTTTTCCTTTTTAAAGTGTACCTGTGCTTTTTCTTGATTTCTGTAATATAGTCTATTTCATCTATATCTAATTAAAATGGTGGATGGTCAAATTAAACAAAACCAAAGCTTTAAATGATGAGGTATGTATATGCAAAGGTAATCTCTGAGCATTAAGTTCATGTTTTAAACAACTTTAGCTGAACAATTTCACAGTTTTTTCCTACTGCTGTATAAGAGCAACTATTCACAGAACCATAATCTTAGGTATACAACTCTGGCTCTGGTTACAGAAGCCTCAATCAGGTGCTGCTCAAATCTTTTATTTGTAAGGGGGAGCCAGAAGAAATGTGACTTAAAGGGACAGTGGCCTTAAACAGAGAGGACGAATTAGGTGTTCACTAAGAATCAGTAGAATTTAAATCAGGATTTTTAAAATATATATATATATATATATATATATATAAATTTTGAACACTGATGCCGATGATTGAGTTTCAAAGTTCAGCCATTTCTCCACACATGGTATTTCACTCTCACCTTTTTTGGCAGTTTTAACTAGATAGGGGAAGTTATTGGTGTCTCCAGAACCCACTTTGAAGAAAGGCACATTAAGCTCATGAAGAAACTCCACCGCCATCTGAAGACAGAAATGCTTATGGTTAAACTTCTCCACTGAGTAAAGTACCATAATACTATGAACAAAACTCTCTCTTACCTCATCCATTCCTGATGCAGTAAAGTAGATCCCCACCTCTTCTGCATATTTTTGCAGTTCCCTGTACTGATCGTGGCTGAACTCCAGATGGCGCTTGTGCACACCGTAGGTTTCCCCCCAGGAGTGTTTGGAGGTGTATGGGCGGGCCAAGGCTTTCTTGTTGAACTTAAACTCTAATTCACTCTTCTGAAATTTGGCACAGTCTGCACCACAGTCCTGAGGAGGTGGGGAGAAGATTTTTGATTTTTTTTTGAATGGTACTAGTTTCTTGAGTTGCTCTCACGTATCTTTTAAGATCCTACAAGACACACTTGATAAATACCTGTAACTTGATAGTGTTCTGGAAAAAAAAATTGTAAGTGTTGTACTAAAAAGATGTGGACATGATAAAAATTCTTCATAACAGGTTTAATGGGCACATGAACACAGCTAACGAATTTAAGACAAATTTTACTACAATTGAATACAATTCACGTCTGGTTTGAATCAAACACAGCAGCAGGCACAAGAGGGCGCTATAGGACAGGCACAGAAAGAGAAGCCAAACTCCATTCATAAATCTAGTAATTTAATATTTTGCAACTTATGCCAGAAACACCGTTTAAATGGCATAAACGGGTTAAATGAAGCATCCAACTTTGATTTCAGGATTTCATGTCTGAAACGAAAAGTTTATGATTTGCTTGGGTGAAGCAGAGGAACGTGTCATATTGCTTTCTTATGAATGAAGTTCAGGAAACAGACGGTATATCGTGTGCGTGCGTGTGTTTGACTGTCTGTGCGTAAATATACCTAAAAGACAAACCGATACGTGTTTAATTTTTTACATTACCTTTGCCATTTTTATCATTTTCTTTGCGATCTCAATGTCTCCCTGGTGGTTCTGTCCAATCTCAGCTATGATGAAACACGGATGGTTCCCTCCGATCATACGACCGGGACACAGCTCAAACTCTAACGGCATTTTGTTGGTAGAAAAGTAAGCAAGTACAACCAGTGAAAGTAATAAAGACAACTAAAAAGTGTCAACCCGGGTATATAACCGGAACAGTTAACGTCATGCACAAACAGGATGTGCCGCAACTTCCGCCTTTGTGGATCAACGTAGCAATCTTTCTTTCAAAATAAAAGCAACCATTCTGTTCTGTTTTTATTTGCATCGACAAATTTATAGCTATGGAAAATCATATTTATGGATATGTACATTTATATTTATAGATATAAACTTCCCGTGAAACAAGTGGTTGAATAGACATTTTCCAACCAAAGCTTTGAACTTTCCAACCAAAGTTCATAGCTACAAGTAAAGTGTATATATATATATATATATATATATATATATAGATAGATAGATAGATAGATAGATAGATAGATAGATAGATAGATATAGATATGAAATTTAGCCCAGTGGCAGGGCACATACCGGGCATTTTCCCGGTGAGCCGACTCACTTTTGGGCCGATGGGCCGGCCTGAAGTGCCCGCTGCGCACCAGCCATACAAGAAATGGCAGCAGCCCATTCGTTCATTTTCATTAGTGAACAATCAAATGTCCTAACGCTACCGGCCCCTCTCCTACCTTCGCTGCACCTTGAAGAGGTGGTGGAAGAAGCAGCGAGAAGGTGGAGCTGGAAAGCCGAGAGAGAACACTGAAAGAAACTAATATGAGATGCAGCTAAATGTGTCAGATTAACCGACATGTTAGCAGTCTGGCTGTGACTGTAACAGAAGTACCAGCAGCATAATCAAGCTTTACAATCACAGAAGGCTGCTGGTGCTGAGGAAGAGACAAGGAAGGTGAAATTCACGTGGTAAGAAAATAGATGGAGGGACATAATTAGGAAGGGATAGATTCAGGGATTTGGGTAAAATCAATGGCTGCTTTGACCATAAGCCATTGCTAATAGTAGATTTTAATTATTATCACACACTGCAGTGGAACTGAGAAATAACCCAACAACAACTGTACCGACCCGATTAATACCCATGTTAATATCAATAGTCAAACAAAATGAAATGATCATGGTGAGTCGCCTGGACCACAAATGCCTGGACAGTCTTAACACAAAGCAAACAATGTCTGAAGAATTTATTAAATAAATAAATCCACCCACTTGAGATGACTCAGTGCAGACAAACTGAAAATTCATGTTTAACCTGTTTATGTGTGAGTGTGTGAATTGTGCATGAATGGGTGGATGATTGTGTATAGTGTAAAGCGCTTTGGGGTCCTTAGGACCAAGTAAAGCGCTATACAAATACAGCCCATGTACCATTTACTACAGAATTAAGAAAATGGTTCTAGAAGAACATGTATGAGCAAGTTTTCAGTGTATGTAGCAAACCTGAGTAGTTCAATTTAATGTAGGTGTGGAAGGAAATACTGCAAAGAAAATCACAAAGATAACATAAGAAATATTTATTTGTTTTTGCTACGCAAATTGCTCCGTTTAAAAGACAATAACAATTTGAACATCGCCTTCTGTTGCCTCACAGGCCTCGTCCAATCACTCTTCCTCTGTGCTCTTGCTTCTCCATCTTGTTTCGTAACACCTGTATAAGTCACTTTAGGCCTTGTTTTTATCCGGACACATGGCTGAATTGTCCTTCCAATTGAGTGTGCTCAGGCACAACATGAGTAAGATTAATTGGTAATCAGTATGTTGCATTTTGAACACCAGTGTTTCTACCTCGACCGAACACATCTAAATGATGGAATTTTTAAAGATTTATAAAGTTAATATTGGTGAGACCAATAGAACTGTGTTTAGAGTTTTGAAATCTTGAGTCAGTTGGTTGATACATACTTTCAGAACTGTGTGAATAGTCAGTGAAGCTTTGAATGTAAGTACAGTATTCTCATATACCAGTAATCAAGCCTTCTATTTCTGAAGAGAAGCCAGTAAGAGTTAGTGTTGTTTTTTCAAGGTAACTGAAAAAAAAACTCCACCTTTTAAGTGTATTTATTATTGTGTTCTTTAAATCAACAGTTATTAATGAAAAAGGATCTGAGGTTAGATGTGTTTTGTTTTTTTTTTTAAGATGGGGACAAAAGCATCAATTAACTATTCTATATTTTTGCTAAAAAATTCAAAGTAATTTCACAATAATTTTCCTCTGGTTGTCTGCACCCATTCTTAAATGACTGGATGGCCACCAGTAGAGGGCGCCCACAGTTTGAGAATCATTGCTCACAGGGAAGGGAAGGTGGCCTTAAACGGGGAAGACCTGAAATTTAAAAAACGGACACAGTTTTTTCCCTTTCTTTAACATTTTTTCAAAGAGTTTTTTTAAGAGACTTGTTTTAAAGACACTCAAGGAGTGTTATGGTGTTGTTTGGTGGATGATACATGGATGTTCTGTGGTGTCCTCTGCTGTCTGGTCTGCATATTTGTTTCTTAAAGGATGTACAAATTGTACTTCTTATTTATTTATTTTTTCTGTATATTTTGAGAACCCCAAGACAGAAAATGCAATGTGTGACATGAACAAGCTGGTTCATGTCACACATTAGTACCTATATAATAACACAGGGCTTCTTCCAGAAGCCCAGGAATGGCACCTGGACTATGAATTCAATATTATAAAGTGTCTTACAAAGTCCAAAGCCATACAAGAAACATTGATTGCCTTTTAGAAAATGGAAGGAAATGGAACTGTGCACACAATTCTGAAACCATGACACTTATTTGTATTTTATTTCAAGGCACTTGTATTCAGTTGTATATGTAATATGACTCAGTGAAGCCAAAATGTACATGAATACGTTCGTGGTAGTGTTTTGAGTTTATCACAGCTGTGTGAAATAGCTGTGTGTATTGCTTTGGTGTTTCATTTTGCAAGAAATGTGTCGAATTGTCACAAAGTAATTAATTCTTTCCATTTTATGATTAAGTTTTGAGAAACTGATTGAGAGACTGGTTGGTTAAAAAGATTTTATTAGTAACTTCCTGTTTTTGCCAAACAGTCCCCTTGCCTAAAGCACACAGAGAATTTCCATAACTGCCAAAGTTTCTGAAGCCAACTATGGCTGTATGCTACATAAGAGAGAGCTTTCTTCTTCTTTCAGTTGCTTCCTTTAGCAGTCGCCTCATGCTCATCACAGCATTCAACAGGTACATACAGAGCATTGTGGTTAGTTTTCTTTGTATCCTTTTCTGTTCACACACATTTTCAGTCCATTTTCTGTTTTCATGTCTATCTCACTCTTTTTATTTCTTCTATCATGTCAACCAAAATGTAGTGGTCTATCCTTCACATCCATGATGATCTTCTGGCCCACTAGTTGCTGCATGTGCTCTGACGGCATACCAGTTGGCTTGCCAACCTTCCCTGCAAACATATCCAGTGTACCTTTGGAAATGTCCACTTTAGCCCCCACTGATTTGTACAACCGTGGAGAAAACATAGAATGTAGAAATTAGTGACAGATTAACAATATCAAAGTCAAAGTCAGCTTTATTGTCAAAAATCGTGTGTATCGGTCATACACCGGAATTTGAAATTGCAATGCTCCCACGGCCTTCAGTGTAGACTAAAACAATATAAAGATATAAAGATTTTTTCTAAAGTCTTTTGTACAACACAATACAATACAATTTTAGATAAACAACAGTGAGCAACACAATCAGTGTTTGTGGTCAAGAGTTCATGTGCAAAAGGCGATGGTGGAGGTTCAGAGTTTTGTTTGTCTGGAGGGTTTCAACCAGCGCCACCATCACTAACATCAACGCTAACATCAATGTTAGATCTCAATTAGAATTTTAGGTTACCCTAACGTTGCATTAATGACTCCTGAAAAGAATTTGGAAGTGTTGCTGAAGGATGAAAAGAAAGAAAGTTGGAGAAACAAATGACACAGGATAAAGGTATTATTTATTGATTCTATGTGAATTAATTTGACAGTTGGATTTTTTTTACATCAAAGTTGTATTTGAAAATACTTAATAGTCAATAGCCACAGTTAATGCTAACCTGACCTGCTATTTAGAGGATAATGACTGCGAAACATTTTTTTTTCTTAGAAGCACCTTGAAACATTTGGTATTATGATTTGGCACTATATAAATAAAATTGAATTGAGAAAATGCAGTTTTTTGTCAGTTAGTTAGTCAACCCCATAGGAATTGTAAACAGAAATAATAACCAAATATCCTCTTTGATTCATTGTTTTTTGTTTTTGTCTTGTAGTTGGGTTTAAATTGGAACAAATTGAAGCTGCAGTAAATTTTTTACCTAGCAAGCAGCAGTTAGAAAGTAAGAATTTTATTATTCATTTTAGCTCATGTCTTTTTCATTAGAGCAAACTTTACGTGCTATTTGCTTGCCAACTTAATTAGAAATGTAACACTATTTATTATTTATAATAGTTAGCTTTTTTTGTTACCTACAACCCGATGCTTTACAACATTAAAGTGGTGTTTGAGTTTACTATTTAAAGCAAAACCTATGAAATTTCCAAATTGCCCCAAATTCCTCCATGCTAACAATGAACTTTAAGCTATGCTGTGGGACGAGCTGCCCCTCAGCTTCTGTGCTGCTGTGGAAAATGAGTCCACAGAAGCATAACCTAATTAACGTTGAATTTTAACTGCAGGAGGTTCAGTATATTCAAGCTGAGAGTAGCCTGTGCCTTAAGTTGCTCAATGCTTCTCTCCTAAACCCCTCCCAATC